TATATATATATAAAAAATTCAGCTTTAAATTAACAAAAACTATTTTTCATAGTTGTAGTTAACAATAACAAAACTGGTAGTTGACACAAAAATTAACACCAAAATAAAAATTATCATGACTTACATGACCACATATTATTACAAACCTCTTCCTTCTTTCATGGAAACAAAAAGAGATGTTTAGTAGAATGTCTAAGCTGCTCTTTTCTATAGATAATAAAAACATATATTGACTAAAGACACAAAAAAAGTACATAAGAAGAACCAAAAAGTAGTTGTTTTGACTTCTGCAGTCTTCTCAGTTGGAAGAAAGTCAGTTTTGGAACAAAATGACTGAAAAAGATTTAAATTTCTGGGTGAACTATACCTTTAATGTCAGTTTTACTATTATATTGCCAAAGAAAGAACATTAGAAGTTTTGAAAGCACTTCAAAAAGCTGTCATTTCATCTTTGAGTTCTTGACCTTATTTGAGGTGTCCATCATAATCTTATTGGATTTCCCAGCTGTCCTTTGTAGCACTTAGAAGCACGACTATTGTTTTTACTGTTTAAACTCATCTCCTTTGGGCCGTCAAAAGCAAACATACCCCTGCTTTATACTTCATCTTCAATTTCCAAAACAAGAACAGGACAGGGCTCAAGTTTACAGTCCATGTCATGTTCCAGTAGCAAGTAATATGTTTATGAGGTTCTCAGAGAGGTTCTTTGTGCGCTTGTAGTGCTGAAAAGGCCTCACATATTGCCAGCATTACCGAGTTGCCTCAAAGGTGCATTCAGGACAAGATTTCTCAGGACATGTGTTGCATGATACGTCTTTTCATAAAGGTTAGAGACTAAACAGCCCAGAGCTAAAACAGGTTCCATTTCAGACACACTTATGCTTATGTGGAGCTGTGTTTGATTTAGTTAATATAATGAGAGCTTTTCTGCGAGACAACTGTGTGTAGGAGTGGACATGTGAGTTTCTGTGTTCTCACACTCACCTGCCCTCTCTAATTCTCTGCTGTGTGTTGTACGTTCGCAGGAGAACGAGGCGTCAGGATATAAGGAATGGAGACCCTCTGACTCAATGTTCGGATCTACAGCATCACGGTAATACCGGTGCAATCACAAAACATGTTTACTATGTGCAGAAACACACTGTTACTGTGGGTTAATGATTACAAATTTCTTTCTATACAGTCCATAATTTGATTTAGTCTTTTATCAAAAGCAACATAATGTTACAAAAGATTCATATTTCAAATAATTGCTGTTCTGGGTAAAAAAAAAAAAAAGTATCACAGTTTCCACAAAAATATTAAGCTGCACAACTGTTTTCAGCATTGATAATAATAAGAAATGTTTCTTGAGCAGCAAATCAGCATATTAAAATGATTTCTGACAGATCATGTGTCACTGAAGACTGGAGTGATGATGCTGAAAATTCAGCTTTGTTCACAGGAATAAATTACAATTGAAAATATATTGAAATAGAAAACATGTATTTTAATTTGTAATAATATTTCACAATATTGCTGTTTTTACTGTATTTTTAATCAAATAAATGCAGCCCTGGTGAGCATAAAAGACCTCTGTAACACTTTAGTGAAGGGACCAATTCTGACTATTAACTAGTTGCTTATTAGCATGCCTATTATTAACATATTGGCTGTTTATTAGTACTTATAAAGCACATATTCTGCATGATCATATTCTACATCCCTAATCCTGCTCAATCCCTAAACTTAATAGCTACCTTACTAACTATTAATAAGCAGCAAACTAAGAGATAATGAGGTTTGTTAATAGCAAGTGTTAGACCTTAAAATAAAGTGTGACCAAAACTGCTTTCAAAAACATAAAATTCTAAATATAAATAAATACATTTCATTACTGAACCCAAACTATTGAATGATAGTACATTTGTTAACTAGGTAGTAATTTAGCAGATGTTTTAATCCAAAGTGCCAAAACACCTATAACAGGAACAGTCCTCCTGGTTAAGTGTCTTACTCAGGTCACAGTGAAGATGTCTCGCTTCTTGTGGGACTTAAGCCAACAGTCTTCTGGTTTCCAACCATGCATAACACCTCCCTAACATCTTTTATTGGCTTTAGAACAGCATTTCTATCAAATAGCCTTAGCCCTAATTCTAACCTAGCACTAAAAACAGAAGAAAATTTGGTTTATTAATAGAAATTGTTGCTCCAAGACCAAGAATGATGTTGATCCAACTTGCAGATCTTACTACTTGACTTTATGTTAAGTGTGATAACATGCTAGCAAGAAAGCAGTCACTGCGTCATACTTCCCTTAACATCTCTTCATAAAATAAAATTCAGGATGTGCGGGGAAAGTATAATTTTGAAGCCAAAGAGAAAATTGCAACTGTTCATAACAGTGTTTTAATGAAAGCTCTGCATACATGCCGTACATGTCAGGTTAGTGTTTTTAATTAAAGCTTTTGAAATGAAATTTAACTGCTGAGAAACAGTTCCACAGCTGTTGCAAAAATACAGGCTCTAGAACGTGCATTTACCCACGTCCGTTCAAAAGTTTAGGGTCTATAAGATGTCTGAATGTTTTTGAATGAAGTCTCTTATGTTCCTGCATTTATTTGATCATAAAAACAGTAATATTGTGAAATATTATTACAGTTTTAAATAACTGGTTTCTATTTGAGTATATTTTAACATTTAATTTATTCCTGTGATGCAGAGCTGATATTTCAGCATCATTACTCCAGTCTTCAGTGTCACATGATCCTTCAGAAATCATGGTGCTCAAACATTTTTTACTATCAATGTTGAAAAGTATCCATTAAAAAATAAAAATCTTACTGACCACAAACTTTTAAATGATACATGGTGTACATCGTGTGATCACATTCACGGGGACCACACACAGACTTCCTGTATCGGACACACCTCATTACAGTGGCACCGCTAACCCACAGCACTGCGCTCTGACATTTCATAGTTCAGACTTAAAAGGATGGTAAAAGAAAATGAAAGACAGAAGAATAGATGCCGCTTAACATTTTGGTCTTTTGGATTTTTTTGGTCTCTCTTGGCCTTGAATCTCTATAGACCTGAAACACGCTGAGAGACACACAGCTGTGATATAGACATGCTGGGTGTGACTCTGCTAGTGTGATAGCATATGGTCTGAACTATCAGTTTGTATTCTCACTGTTGGATGTCCTGTTTGTCTGTATCAGGATCAAGAGTTCTCACTTCTTTCTCTCTTGTTTCCCTGTCTATGTGAGCAGATGAGGCAGACGGAGAGAGAGGTTTGCTGGATAAGACAGTGTATGGGGTTGAAAACAGCAGCTCTTTTCTGGAGTGCAGTCCTAAATCCCAGCGTGCCCTTATTTACTGGCAGTTTCAAAGATACGGAGAGGACCGCAAACAAGAGGTATGTTCTGTTGTGTATACAGTGGAGACCAAAAGACCACTAGTTATCAGCATAACAAGTAAAAAGTTTAATAGAAAAATTAACATGATGTTACATTTCTTAGTATTTGGCTTGTCCCTCTTTTACTTAAATGACAGCAGCTGTTGAGCAGCATGGACGTCGAGCTGCTCAGACTTCATGATCATGATCTCCAGAAAAAAATAAATAAATAAAATAAAATAAATAAATAAATACATAAATAAAGCCTGTATGACCAGAAAAATCACACTGAATCTGACATTGTCAATGTCCAGTGTGGAAATAAATCAGATTTTCATGTGATATTTGCAGTGTTAAATATCAGGTCATAATTAATGCAAGCTTTTCATCAATCTTACTCATAAAATTCCTCAAGATTGTGTGATTGATTTACCCTGATATCATAAAATAATTCATGAACTGCATCATATATATTCATAATTGTATATAAAGATCACAGAATAGTGCAAAATAAATGTATTTAAATATACATGGATGTACATTAGATATCAAATGTTGTGAAGTTAGTAAGTTAAAATAGTAATGTTAATGCATAAATACCGTTTTACAATTCATAAATACAAGTTTTTACAATTGCATATGCTGTAATAAAAAATTATATTGGATTAAATTATGAAATGTGTTGATATGATCAACATGCTATCAGGAATGTTGACTGCTAGAGCAGTGTCTGGTAAGGATCATGTTATAAAGATCATGTAGAGAAACTCATTAAAAAAAATTGAATCAGGCACTCTGGTTTATGGGGTGAATGTAGCCAATAATGTTGAAACTGCTGTTGTCAATAATGTTTACAGTACTCAGAGCATGTGATCCGATCGGCATGTCTACATGTTTTGTTTAGGTAAAGTCAGATGAGCGGGTGTTGGGCACAGAACAGGGTCTGTTGATCCGAACCCTCCATCAGAAGGACTCGGGTGTGTATTACTGCCATGCTGTTGAACACGGCTTCATTCAGACCCTCCTCCGCCTCACGCTCAACGTCATTCCCACCGAACACCTGGATGACCTCCTGCACCGAGACACACCCGACAGCAACGACCCGGCCAACGGCAAGATGTGGTACCGCGACTTCCTGTCCCTCATCAACCCGCCGAGCCTAAACAGCGTCGACCAGCTCTGCGAGCAGGTTTGGAAAAGAGAACGGAAACAGCGTAGACAGAAAGCCAATCTGCTGCACGCCAGCCAATCACACGCCAGCCAGCTAATCCACCCCAGCCAATCACACACCAGTAAGTGGAAGCTGCTACAGGAAAACAAGAAAGGACGCAATCGCAGGACCCACGAGATGCAGCGGGTGCCCCGCAGCGTGTGACATGGACTCTAAATAAAAAAGGACGAGGAAATCCAACAGACTTCTATTGAGACTGGAGACAGGAAGAGCGGAATTCCACTTCCTGTAGTGTGTGCAAGAGATTTACTTATGAACCAGAGCACATCTTCATTCACACGTATTGAGACTCTAACTCTGAGAGGACTTAACAGGACACAAGATGCAAACAGACACTGAAATACCTGTAAATATGACATAAATACAAAAATATACTGTGAGACAGGTTTCAGTCTGTATAAAAACCCTGTTTCATTTATGAGGGACAAAACATGGATGCTGAAAGACCACTGTTTAACCTCCATTTAGCCGAAGCACAATGCATTCTGGGTAATGAACTTGTCAGTAATATTATGTGTATAGAGTGTGTTGACCTTAACATATACTGTATATCTTTGTATTGGAATGGTAGGCCCATCTGTTTATGTACGTATCCATTAATTAAGGAATTGTTCATTAGGTTTTATTCTTCTTTCTTTTCCCCCTATTTCTATCTTCCTCCTTGTGTTTTCTATTTTCATCTGCTGCAAAAGCAGCGCCTCGGCAAATCCATTAATGGAACTGTGTTCTTCCTCTGAATAAGCTCTTCTTGACAAGAAAAAATAACTAAAAATCATTTCTGCTATTTTTTTTAGATTAATATTTAATTTTGTACTGCGCCAGAGTATATCTAAAATATTACATAATAGATTTATTTTCTTATTAGTTGTCCTCATTGTAAACCACTGCACCATGAGGGTAAACAAGCCCTCTTCACTCATTTTTTCTCCTCAGTTAAGTTATTTGTTGTCATGATTTTCTCTATGTTCACATTTGCGTTTATTTAAAAGTATTGTGGTCGAGTATGTGAAATACGGTGGCATTTATTAAGGGGTATTGCCGTCATGTTGTCATGTCTGTCACACATGCTTAGCAAAATACTGGTTTTCACAAAAAAACAATCCACACTACTATTTAGGAGAATATATGTTTTTCAGCTGAAGAATAATTCTGTTTAACAATTCTGCATAACATTGATTATTATTATTATTAACTATGCCCTTTGTAACTGCTAAAAAAGGAGTTTAGATTTTTCATTTTTGGTTTTTAAAAGCCCTTCTCTTTATATGACATTTAAGCCCATACTTGAAATCAACATGGAATTATAGTATGTCCGAAACCCTTTTTGCTACTATGATGTGACATTTCTGAGTGAAACAGCATAATTCAGAAATTCATCTATTTTATTCCCTGGAAATTGATTGGATTATGAAAAGTGAGTAATAATTTAGGGACTACAGAATGAATATATACACAAGAAAAAAAAGTGTATATTTGTTTTTTCTTGTGTTTGTGTATATATACACATATATGTACACACACATTCTGTAGTTATTCAAAAGAAATTAAATGTTTTCATAATCTTTCATAAAAATTTAATAAAATGTTGCTCCATCTCAGACATCTTTCCATGTCACAAAAGCCTCATAAGTTTCAACCAATGGGTGGCGCCATTGTTTCATTCCTCCTCACTCTATATATACACATCTCAGAGATGTATGTATATGTTTAGAGAGCCAATTATTACATTTTTTAAGAGAGATTACGAAAACAGACTATTTCTTTCTACTTTACTTGGAATACCGTACGGACTCAATCATGAAGCATGAAATAAGACCAAAAACATGTATTGAGAGAGTAAATGGAAATTATTTAGATTTTTTTTCTTGACTTATGAGAGGGCAAGGGAGGACAAATTTACAATTGTTATATAATATTCCGCGCATGTCCCTTGGCTGAGGAAAGGACAGCTGCTTGACTGGAACTGCTGGGATCAGAGACAGATCACAGCTGGGACATGACTCACAGACTCCTTGAGAAGTCCTACTTTTACTCCTCCCACTGAATTAGTTTTATCAAGTTGTTTTTGTCCCCTTTTGTTAAGGACACACACACACACACTCACACCTACAGCACACATATATCTGAATGTAGCTGTGAACATATAGACTATTTATGAAAAAATGGTCCAAAATATATGCCACTGTGTACAAACTGCATGTGAATTTACAGCACCACTCATTTCTATACTCGTTTACAGTAGCTGCTCTTGTTAATGAGTAATTTGTCTGGCATTGGATTCCAGGTGGTGCTTAAAAATATTCTGCTAATAATGACAGATGGTGTTATTGACGAGCATAATTTCTGCCTGATAAATTCTCTCCCTTTGTAGCTAATTATACAACCAACAGGAAACCGCTGTAAATGAAAGGATTTCAAATGCAAAACTCAGCAGTATGAACTTGGTTGATCGGCTCTGTTTGGATGGACCTTGGGCAGAAAAGGACACATGCCTTGCTTTGACTTTTTACAGGGACTCCCCTGAACTGGTAACGAGGGACAAAGACATGAAAATGCTGCTGTAAATTATTCATTTCTGGCATGCATTCTGCTGTTCAAATAAATGTCTCTTCTAAAGAATCTGTTTTAGAGGGCTGGACCCGCTGGGTGCGTTCGTTTCTGGTTGCCTTGACAGTGCCGTTGTGTTCTAGGTCAGAGTTGCCAAGTCCGCTTTTAATACGCAAATTTGGGCTTCTTTTTTTTTTGTTTTGTTAAATTGCGAAAAAAAATGAAAAAAAATCCCGGGTTGCGGTTTTTTGGGCTTTTTTTTTCTTTTCTTTTCTTAAATATGGTTGCTTGTTAGGGAAATCTGACAAGCAACTTAGTTCCCCTTCAAGAACTCGAGCTGCGTCGGAAAACGCTTTGGGAACGCCTCCAACGTGACCATGCTCTGAATCACATATGAAATCAATCCAATAGATGGGCGAGGAAGTTATAGGAAGCTATAAAAGCACGTGCGGTGGAACCGGCGTCAGCTTTTTGTCATTCAGCAAGCGCTCTGTGTGTGTGTGTGTGTGTGTCAGTCACTATCTGTTTGTGAGTCTTATTTAGTGTTGTTTGTCCACTTATAAGCTCCATTATGTCAAGCTTCAGCCAAAAAGAACCATTTGGGCGAGAGCAGACAGCATTCAGGCTGTGTTCCTCCCTGCCCGCGCTATATTTCGGGTGGGGACACACACAGTTTGTGTACACCTCATTATATGGTGCCCGTCTCTCCTCAGTGCCCTCAGGAGATTGTTCTGCCAACCCTGCCACCTACGGTGCTTCAGGGCGCAGCGGTCTTCGGCGAGCGCTTCTCTCAGTCACCGCCCAGAAACGTAGCGGTATTAAGAGGCTCACTACCTCTTGGGAGGTTTCTAGGGCAGCTAGTTTGGCCATTCCCTGCCGGTCCGCCACTTCAGGGCACCGACCTAGCCGCTCTAAGTGCACCAGAGGCCAGTCTCGAGAGACTGGTTCCCTTAGTAGGTCACCTGGCGGCGTGGGAGCCCCTGCCAAGTGTGTCTCATTGGGTCCTGCCCCGAGCAAGACCTGGTTCTATCAGTCTAGTCTTCCTATGAGGTGGCGCTGGTCTGAGGACCGTCGTTTTCAATAGGAGACTTCAGCTTATAGAGTCCTGATGCCATGGCTCAGGACTTCGGAGGGCAGGCCCCTCTGGGGAAGAGTGGTGTAAACCTCATTATATGGTGCCCGTCTCTCCTCAGTGCCCTCAGGAGATTGTTCTGCCAACCCTGCCACCTACGGTGCTTCAGGGCGCAGCGGTCTCCGGCGAGTGCTTCTCTCAGTCACCGCCCGGAAATGTAGCGGTACTAAGAGGCACGCTACCTCCTTAGTCCTTCTAGAGCAGCTAGTTCGGACGTCCCCTGCCGGTTCGCCACTTCAGGGCACCAACCTAGCCGCGCTGATTATATCAGAGATCAATCTCGAGAGATTGATTCCCTTAGTAGACCTTTTTGGCAGCGTGGAAACTTCCGTTAACACACTTTTGAAGAAGGAGGCCATCGAGGTGGTCCCTTCTCTCGACAGACAGTTTGGGTTCTACAGCCGGTACTTCATCGCAAAGAAGGATGGAAGTTCCTGAGGTTTGCTTTTGGGGGCAAAAGCTTACCGGATTCTTCCGTCGGCCTTGCAGTCTCACCCCGCACTTTCACAAAGTGTGTGGATGCTGCTCTGGCTCCTCTGTGACTCCAGGGCATCCACACACTTGTAAGAGCTGGGGTTTAGACTTAATGCCAAGAAAAGTGTGCTTTCTCCAGTACAGAGAACCACTTATCTGGGTGTGGTGTGGGATTCGACCACGATGCAGGCACGTCTGTCTCCTGCTCGGTTCGAGTCGATCCTCACTGCAGTCGCGAGAGTGAGAGAAGGCCGGTCACTCACTGTCAGCAGTTCCAGAAACTGCTGGGTCTGATGGCAGCTGCGTCCAACGGGAGACCTTTTGGCCTGCTGTACATGAGACCCCTACAGTGGTGGCTCAAGACCAAGGGGTTCTCCCTGAGGGGAAACCCGCTCCGCATGCTCAAGGTCACGTGGCGATGCCTACGTGCCTTAGACATGTGGAGTAACCTTGTCGCCGCGTAATGCTAGCGACGGACGAGTCCCTCACTGGTTGAGGAGCGGTCATGAGTGGCGCTCAGCCCGTGGTCTGTGGAGCGGCCGCCATCCCACGTGGCACTTCAACTGCCTGGACTGCACACTGTAGAAAGAGGCTACCGAATCAGTTCGGTTCTTCTCTGCCTCGTTTCAACAGGGTCATTCCCACTCTGGTGGGCCCGGAGCAGGCTCTGGTAATGGAACAAGAAGTTAACACTCTCTTGAGGAAGGAGGCCATCGAGGTGGTCCCTTCTCTCGACAGGTTGAGGAGCGGTCATGAGTGGCCGCTCAGCCCACGGTCTGTGGAACGGTCGCCATCTCACATGACACTTCAACTGCCTGGAGATGATGACCGTGTTTCTAGCATTAAAACACTTTCTCCCAGACCTAAGAGTTCGCCATTTGTTGGTGCACCGACGACACAACGGCAGTCTCTTAAATCAACCACCAGGGACGTCTGCGTTCGCGCTCCCTTTACAGGCAGGCGCACCAGATCCTTGTGTGGTCCCAGGGTAAACTCCTCTCACTGAGAGTAGTTCACATTCCTGGGCATCTCAATATGGGAGCAGACATCCTGTCGAGGCAGGGGCCGAGGCCCGGTGAATGGAGAATTCACCCCAAGGTGGTGAAGCAGATGGACGTGTTTGCGACTCGAGAGACATTGCACTGTCCCCTCTGGTTCTCTCTGACTCATCCAGCTCCTCTCGGACTGGACGCTATGGTACAGACGTGGCCGAGGCTTCGTGGCCTTTTTCCCCGATCAATCTGCTCCCAGGAGTTCTGGAGAAAGTGTGCCGGTACGGGGTCCGTCTACTGTTAGTAGCCTCGTTCTGGCCGGTCCGAGTATGGTTCTCTGACCTGATTTCCCTTCTCGACAGCTCTTCATGGGAGATTTCCGTCAGGAGGGATCTCCTCTCACAGGCGGAGGGTACTATCTTCACCCCCTCCCGGAGCTGTGGAAGCGTGGGTGTGGCCCCTGGGGTGGCACAACTCGCAGCTTCCTGTCTCTTGTTTCTAGCATTAAAACACTTTCTCCCAGACCTAAGAGTTCGCCATTTGTTGGTGCACCGACGACACAACGGCAGTCTCTTAAATCAACCACCAGGGACGTCTGCGTTCGCGCTCCCTTTACAGGCAGGCGCACCAGATCCTTGAGTGGTCCCAGGGCAAACTCCTCTCGCTGAGAGTAGTTCACATTCCTGGGCATCTCAATATGGGAGCAGACATCCTGTCGAGGCAGGGGCCGAGGCCCGGTGAATGGAGAATTCACCCCAAGGTGGTGAAGCAGATGGACGTGTTTGCGACTCGAGAGACATTGCACTGTCCCCTCTGGTTCTCTCTGACTCATCCAGCTCCTCTCGGACTGGACGCTATGGTACAGACGTGGCCGAGGCTTCGTGGCCTTTTTCCCCGATCACTCTGCTCCCAGGAGTTCTGGAGAAAGTGTGCCGGTACGGGGTCCGTCTACTGTTAGTAGCCTCGTTCTGGCCGGTCCGAGTATGGTTCTCTGACCTGATTTCCCTTCTCGACAGCTCTTCATGGGAGATTTCCGTCAGGAGGGATCTCCTCTCACAGGCGGAGGGTACTATCTTCACCCCCTCCCGGAGCTGTGGAAGCGTGGGTGTGGCCCCTGGGGTGGCACAACTCGCAGCTTCCTGTCTCTCAACCGAGGTTGTTGAGACCATTCTCCAATCCAGAGCTCCCTCTACGAGGAAACTGTATGCCCTGAAGTGGAATCTTTTCACTTCTTGGTGCGGAGACCGCCAGCTCGACCCAGTTTACTGCCCAGTTGGTACAGTGCTGG